CATATGCTTGAACAACGATGGCGGCAAAATTAATTTAGTAATAATAATAAACAACATTCAGGACGTATCGCCTCTCTGATTCCAGCTTCGTCAAGTGATACACTTCGGCACGATCCCATCCCCGCAGTCGATCCGCCCTGGAAGTCGTATCACTACTCTGACTCTCCCTTGTTTAGGGACTCGCCCTAACCGACCCGACGAATCTTTATCCCTCATCAGTTAGTCAGCAACTGCTGCCGATGACTCTCCAAACCCGCAGTCGACCAGCTACCGCCGCTGACAACTCAACACTCGTTAACGTCGATACAACCGAAGCACATTTTGGATAAATAAAATCAACGTTTATTATTTATTTATATTCTTCTGTCTTTGTCCCCTCATTGTCTTGGGATGTTCACACCTTTCTCCAAAAAACCTTGCGGGGGCGCCATCCTTATCACGCCCCCGCAACAGGTATATGCTAAAAAATTATATGACTGATGTGGACGCCTTTTTTTTTAAATAATTTTTAGAAGTAAAATATGTATTTTTCATTATGTTAACCAAAGGGGAAAAAAAACAAATAAAATTTAAAAAGTCAATCAGAAAAACAACGTCAATCAATAACAAACATTGGCTTTCTTTAAGAATCAGACTGTCACCAAAATGAAGTCTTCGAGGTGTTGCCATCCAAAGTCTGTTAAACTTAAAAAGTAAATTGAAACTATTGTAAAAAAATAAAATTGACCCTCTCGTGAATTAATTAAAGTAAACATGTCTATTATTTTAAGGTCGAAAGTAGGGAACACCCAGTAAGGATCGAACCCATTATCCAGGTGTAATTGATCTAGCGAGACAAGTTTGCTAACCATTATTACACTCACTAACGTCGAAGTTCCCCTTCGTTTTACTTTATGCTTGTCCAAAATAAGTGAGATGTGAGCACTATCTAAAAAAGGTTACGGAAAAATCCTTTTTTTGAGAGTGGGTGTCTTAACAAACAAAACGGATGCATTCTTTGGTAAAGAAAAAAATGTACTTTTTTTTCTAAATAAATTAACAAGAAAAAGTTGTTTTTTTATCTACAATAAATAATTGGGAACTTAAAAATATGTGTGCATGTGCTTTCGAAACATCGCACCCAAAAACCTATGTAGATATCAACAAATAACGTTTTAGCACATTTTCAGGTTTGCAAATAAGAGACAACTGTCGCGGCCGCCATTAGCCGCTCCTTAGAAAGACGACCTTGACCTTCACAACCCCTGATCTCGCAGATTTAAGTCAAGCAACATGCGAGAAACCGGATGACTAGTCCAATATCGATGATGCCAAACCGTATCTCGTGAGCATCGGATTATACAGCGCTCTTTCAAACATCGGACAACCATTGATAACTTAATATCTACGGTTTTCTACTCCCTCTAGCCAGGGAGTACTTGAATAAATCGCTCCAAATATTGTTAGCCTCTTTTTTCGTCCAAAATTCGAGCTGCTTAGCCTGGAGGCTAACCCGTCTAGGCGGGTTAAAAAGGCTATATTTTTGGCCGAGCTTACGGGCTCGGGGATACCCACATTAAACCGGCCTTGTGCCACATTCTATCCTCGTGGGTGTATCGATAGATACTGAGCTGCTCGGCCTGGGGGCCTGGATCAAAGTGTAGTACACTGCCTTTGTGAGCTTCCGGTGCTTTGTCGAGAGTGTTGCTCTTCGGCGTCGATCCGCACTAGAAGACGTATAACCTCTCTGACCAGCTTCGCCAAGTGTTACACTTTGGCGCTATCCCGTTTCCGCGGTCGATCCGCCCTGTGAAGTCTGTATCACTGTTCTGACTTGGCCTTGTTTAGGGACTCCGTCTTCGCCAAGTGTTACACTTAGGCGTGATCCCGTTTCCGCGGTCGATCCGCCCTTTCTGTATCACTGTTCGATCCGCCCTGTTTAAGATCCGTATCCGCCCTGTTTCCGATCACTGTTTGGCCCTGTTTAGGGACATCGATCAACCTGCTGCTGTTTCAGACTATTCTTCCATCCGGCAGTCGACCAGCTACCGTCGCCGATCAACTCTATATTCGTTTCACCGATACGACCGAAAGCAGCTACCCCTAAACAAAAACCAGTCATACCGGACCCGACACCGATTTGAACGCATTTCTCCAGAGTACACTCTTGTACAATTGGCATAAATAAAATCGACGTTATTGTTTCATAAACCTTTGCCTTTGTCCCCTCATTGTCTTAGCCGTTCACACATTTCTTCACAAAGCTTGCGGGGGTGACATCCTTATCGGCCCCGCAACACAACCTAAAGTCAATATAACTCTGTAAAAGTTAGGGATCGATTTGACAAGTCATCTATATTATAAACAGGACCCTCTTTATAAATCAATAAAAGTATCAATATTTTTCAATTCTGATAAAGGAAGATCTATAGAATTCTAATCTACAAAGATTATTACCTAAAAACATGTTCCCTATTTTTTATATGAGATGGAAATAACTGTAAAAAAATTTATCTTCATCCGATTACAATGAATAAAATTGATTGCAAATGGGATCATGTAATTGTAAAAATTAACCCCCAATTAATTTCCACTTCGATAGCATTCATTAATTTACAAAAAAAAAAAAAAAAAAACATTTTCGAAAAGAGGAGAAAAATGACACCCGAAAAATACGTATTTCCCTATTTAAAAATATATAAAAATAATCATGAGACTTAAATTTAAATGAAAGACAAAAAAGAAGGGCTGTTAGACAAATGATTTGAAAATGGAGAAAAATATTATTATCTGATGTTTTGGAAGTTTTTTTTTTTTTTTATAGAGGGTTAAAAAATGAAAAACATCCAAGTAAAAGTGTGTGGTGAACTTAAAACGTGTATTTTTCTTAATTGCTCTGCTGAGAAGAATTAATAATAAGCTTGAAACTTACAAATAAAGGCTGATTGCAATGGCCAAAGGGATCAGCACAAAGTTGGGAATGTAGAAAACTCCAAAGAAATCCATAATTGCAACAAGAAAAAAACAGGTTTCAACAGTTTTTTGTTTGTTTTTTTCTTGTGTCCTGTGTTCTTAATTCTACAAACAGCCGAGAGAAACAATGATCTCTGGGAAATTTTGAATATCACTGTTGAAAATTCAGTGATGTAGTTTCTTACTGCCGAAAAATAGGTTATCAACTCTACCTAATCAGGGTCAAGAAAGAAATCTCTTTTTATGCTTTTTGTGGAAGGGTGATTGTCTTTTCTTTTTTTAATCCGTAACACGCGTGATGACTCCAGTCATTTTTGTTTATGTCAGTGTCCCTTTAGAATCTTTGTGACCACGGCTCTCCACAACATCCTGTCCCTCTAAGCTACATTTAGTTCTTTAATAGGTACCACCTTCAACATTTATTTACAGTTGCAATGTAATAGTATTTATTGCAAATAGGGCACAAGGCCAATAATGGGGAAAGGGGAAGGCTAGTTCTTATCTGTCTAAAACTTAACTAGTCACAATCATTGACCCAGACATGCTGCAATAATAACCCTTACACCAAAACGCCACTATCGTACCCGGAAGTTAGGCCACTCCCGGTTACTCAAAACACTCCTACCAAACCCAGATTTCAGTGAGCTTCACATATTTAAAGCACTAGTCTAAGATGACAGAAAAAAAACATTGACAAACCTTTTATATCTGCAAACTTTATATAATACACTTCCACATTGCCCTAACAACATATGCCTGAACAACGATGACGGCAGAATTAATTTAATAATAATAATAAACAACATTCAGGGCCCGTGTCTCTGACTGGCACCCGCTGACATGAGAACAACAACACTTCACCTGTTCAGCACGAGGACTGCGGGGTCGAGCGGATGTGCTCTCTCCCTCCATCCTCCCCTCCTCCACCACCGCAGCAGCCGTCGTCATCATAGCAATTACAGATGTCATCTACACCAGACTTATCATTGTCAAAGCCACTACAGATCATCATCATCTACACCAGCCGTAGTCATTGTCAAAGCCACTGCAGCGTCATCATAGCAATTACAGATGTCCTCTACACCATGTCAAAGCCACTACAGTCATCATCATAGCAATTACAGATGTCATCTACAACAGCTTAGTCATTGTCACAACTGCAGTCGTCATCATATCAATCACAGATGTCATCTGCAGTCGTCATCATATCAATTGTCACAGCCACTACAGTCGTCATCATAGCAATTACAGATGTCATCTACACCAGCCGTAGTCATTGTCAAAGCCACTACAGTCGTCATCATAGCAATTACAGATGTCATCTACACCAGCCGTAGTCATTGTCACAGCCACTACAGTCGTCATCATAGCAATTACAGATGTCATCTACACCAGCCGTAGTCATTGTCAAAGCCACTACAGTCGTCATCGTAATTACAGATGTCATCAGATGTCATCTCACAGCCACTACAGTCGTCATCGTAGCAATTACATGTCATCTACACCAGCCGTAGTCATTGTCACAGCCACTGCAGCAGCATCTACACCAGCAGCATGTAACATAAACATTGATATTTTGAAACTAGCTTATTTTCCATTACATTCCCAATAGATTCAGCACTGAGATGCTGTAAGTGAATTTCTGTTGTACTTTTTAGAAATCTCAAGAACTTTACAGAAGTTTCTAAAAGTTTCACAAATTTTAAAACATTCTGTCAACATAGATTGCACTTTGTCTGTTATATATCATGTTAAAAAAATATAAATGAAAAAAATATAAATAAATAAAAAGAATATAAAATAAAAAATTAAAAAAAATATAAATAAATAAAAAAATATAAATAAAGATCAAAACTAAATTCATATGAAGATTTAGATCAACTCTTTTATTGCTTTAGTATGGAGTATATATATATATATATATATGTATTTATATATATATGGGAGCAACATCGATCTGAGAAAAAAAAAACAAGTGCAAATATGATTCAAAGCTAAGTTTAAATGAAGATTTAAACTAACTTTTGTTTACAAATGTTCTTGATTTTTTAACGGTGTTCAATTTTGATCCAGATTCCATTTTTCGGTTTAAGTATCTCTGCTAGCTCAAAGACAATTTTCTTCTGCAAGGATAAAAAAGAAAAAAAAAGAAATTCAGAAATGAAAAATAATAATATTTTGTGTGATTGAAATTAAGGACAGAAAATTATATAGAAACAAGACCCAAAGAAAGATCAATATGAAATTTTCTACAGTTTATCATTGTTTCATTATCATTATCAGTCTCTTGACTGCTTCAATTGTTGGTGTTGGGAGGTGACATAACGGCAAAAGAAACAGGCAATCATCTCCAGGATGATCTGTTGTAGGTGGCTTTCAGAAGTTCTGCCATTGTCATGTCTCTCAACACTTTGATGTTATCTGACGAGCATTTGTGTTATATAAATGTATAAATATAAAAAAAAGAATTTTCATTGTTATTAGAATTCTTACGTTATCATTTTATGCTCAGTTAGTAAAGAAAATAAATTTTACTACAGCTTTGAAAAGACACATTTGACATTTGCAAGTTGTAAAAAAGGATGGAAAATAGATTCTCTTGAATTGAAATTTTTTACACTGAACTCAAAAAGATATTTACATTTTTTTAATTCAGCTACTTTTTGGTTGAAGCAACTTATTGTCAAATATTGGTTAAATAAAATTCATTCACAAATAATAATCTCTGTCTATATCTCTGAGATGAGGTATTATGATTATTTACATTATTTACATTATTCAGACTGTTATCCTCATTTTCATTGCCATATTCACAACATTTTATCTGTTATACACTTCAGCCTTCTTCAGGTGATTGGAATTTTAAATCCAAATGCTTTATTTCATCCACTGGGGTAGATTGTTCTAGTTCCACACACCATGCCTCTTCCAGATGTTTCAGTTATTTCCCTTCAAATCAACTCTCCATGTTTTTTGGTTCACCATTGATATAACCTGGTATTGAACTCGCAACTCTTTAGGTCTAGTCACTGGATCTAACCAATGCCTTTATCCACTGGGCCATGTGTCCTTGATGATACATCTGCCCTGGTGGATGAAATAAAGGGTTTATATCAAAATTCCAATCACCTGCAGAAGGTCAGAGCGTACAACAGAACATGGCAATGAAGATGATGATAACAGTCTGAATAATGCAAAGAATAACCTTTAGAAAATATTTTAGACTAGACAATGCCAAGTACAGAAGACAAAAGAAAAAAGAATTAAAATGATAAAAATACAACAAAAAAATCTCTTGAAATCTTGCAATTTACAGGGCAATGGCCATGACCAAATCATATTAATGCATGAACTGTTGTTTGGGGACTTGAAGTATTTTAAGACTTAGTAATCTTGAATGAAGAAGTAGAGATATTAAATGGAGAAAAATATGGGAGAGGGGTTAATCAGGTTTGAACATGATGAAAACAAGTTTGGTTTAAAAAGATTCATTTGAACCTATAAAATCCTTGTAAGGAAGGCATCAAGAAGACTTGAACCTAAAATAAACCAAGTAAGATTCAGTAAAATCCAATGTAGCTGAAATTCCCAGTCCAGACCCACAATGATGGGATTAAATTCTTCAAAACCCAGATGGAATTGAAAAATGTTAAGAGAGATTATTAAAATGTCTAGTGTCGTGTATTTTAGAAGCATAGGTCACATGCAATGCTAATAAGCAGTTCTTTATTTAATAAAGAGTGTCTTTGCCTAATTAATCAAAGTCCCTGTTTGCACCATTATCTATATAAATGCATACATGCACGATTTTCCTCAGTTTGTACTTGGCAGGAACAAAACTGCTGTCTGTTTTTGTCAAAATTTTAGCAGTAAAGTTGGCAGTACACCCACATTTCACTCATTAGATATCCCCCTCATTACATATCCTCCTCATTAGATATCCTCCTCAATGTCTCAAGGAAAGAAAGGAATTTACTTTTTTTTAAGAAAAGAATTTTTGATCAATCAGGTCATCCCATAGGTTCTGTCCGAATTTTACCTTTTTTTAAAATGAACGAAATTTAAAGAGTATTTTATAATGTCTAATGGAGCTGAAGATTATTTTTATGTTTAGATGCATTTAAACTGATCAAATTTTATTTCAGAGAACAATAAAATTAAATTTTGTTTGATTAAAACCCTGCTAACATGGAAGTACCCAAGAATCATTTGAGGCACATAATGCTTTATGAGTTCAAGAAAGGAAACTCAGCAGCTGAAGTGGCTAGAAACATTCACTCAGTTTATCGAGAGGAATGTGTGAATGAAAGAACTTGCAGAAGATGGTTTGCAAAATTCAGAGGTGGACATTTCACCCTTGAAGATGAAGATCGAACCGGACGTCCAGTTGAGTTTGAGGAAAAGCTTCTTGAAGCAGTCCTTGAAGGTAATCCTGCTTTATCAGTTGAGGAATTGGCAGTGGTTCTCAGTTCAAACCATACAACTGTTCATCGTCATCTTCAACAACTTGGAAAAGTTCCTAAACTTGGAAAATGGGTGCCTCATGAATTGTCTGAAAACAACGTCAAATCCTGAGTTGACATCTGCTCTTCTCTCCATTCTTGCTAACTTGTTTCACCTTTTTTGGATAGACTTGTGACTGGCGACAAAAAATGGATCTTTTATCAAAATGTTAAGCATCGTAGACAGTGGCTTGGTAAAGGTGAAGGACCCCAGCCACAGCCGAGAAGGGAAATTTATGGGCAAAAGATTCTTCTTTCAATCTGGTAGGATCGCCAAGGAATAATCCACTTTGAATTCTTACCACCTAATGCAACAATTAATGCTCAAATATACTGTCAGCAATTAGAGCATTTGAACCAAGCTTTGAGGAAAAAAAAACCTGCTCTAGTGAATTGAAAAGGGGTAATGTTTCATCAGGACAATGCACGACCCCACAGAGCAAGAATCACGTCACAAAAGATCGAAGAGAAAATTCCTCATCCACCTTATTCTCCCAATCTTGCTCCTTCAGACTACCATTTGTTTCATAGCTTACAGAATCATTTGGAAGAGACAGCTTTTGTAACACAGGAAGAGGTTAAAACTGACATTTGTGAGTTCTTCGAATCAAAGCCAAAAGAATTTTACACTAATGGAATTAATAAGCTTGTTAATAGATGGAAGGAAGTCATAGATAATCAGGGAAAATACATTGTTGATTGAATCTGTAATTAAATGTAACATTTGGTCACTTGTTTTCTTTATTCAAAATTCGGACAGAACTTATGGGATGACCTGATACAAGAATATATTGGTTGCAACTTTTGTATATTTTCATTATTAATAAATTGTGAGTATCTTTATCAATTGAGTTTGTTCATTCTGCTCAAGTTTCCCACCTTTCAGGCAGGTTGGCCAAATTAAAATAGTTCCTACCTCTGTTTGGCAAGCACCAGAGGCTCTAATCAACATTGAATTGGTCAAGCATCTTGCCTTGCAGGGTTTTCTTCTTTCAGATAAGAAATATGGCTTTTGCTGCTCAAGGTCAACTGCTGATGTGTTAATGATTATTTATAAAAGAGTCCATCACACTTTAGATAAGATTGGTGTAGCTTGGGCTGTTACTTTCGATATATGAAGGCATTTTACAGGGGTTGACACACTGATGTTCTTCACAAGTTCAAAGGTTATCGTATTTTGGGATACATTTTTGAACTGATACAGTTTTTCTTATCAAATCACACTAATGCAGGCATCCTCAAGAATTCTGTCCTTGGATATATATTCTTCCTAATTTTCATTAACGATCTTTTCTGATGGTATCAGTTCTCAACATATATATATATATATATATATATATATATATATATATATATATATATATATATGTTGATGACACAACTATTTCTTCCTGTCTTAATAAGATTGGTTCAATAAGGTTAAATTGGAAGCTGATCAAAAAATGACCTACATTCTGTTGTTAACTGGGGCAAGGAATGACTTGTTAATTTTAATGTCTCCAAAATGAAACTGCTCTCTATTGTCTAAAAGATCTCTTTCTGCCTTTCATCAGCATGGCTGATGCTAACCTCCAGGAAAGGAACTTGTTGCACCTTCTTAGGCTAACATTTTTCACTGACATTGAATCAATTGCTATAAAAGTTGCTTCACTGTTCTGTGTTAAACATCTTATCTCATCAGAATTAATCTTATATATTTATAAGTCAACCAGTAGTCTATGATTTGAATATTGCTACCATATATGTTGTGGTGCTCCTGTTATAGTTTTAGTGATCCTTGATAAAGTGGAAAGAAGTATATGCAATGTCATTGGTCCTGACCTGGCATCTCAGCTTCACTCTCTTTCCCACTGCCATAATGTAGCTTCCCTGTGTATTTTCTATAAATACATTCATGGTAATTTTTCTCTGTGGATAAACCAGATTGGAAAGTTCTTATCATTTTACATTTGAAATGGCTGTAAGTTCTATGCTAATAGTTTCTTCTCTCACACTTCTTGATTGTGGAAATCTCTTCTGACTTCTTGCTTTCCAATCAACTTTGATCTTCAAAGAATTTAGATGCAATGTCTGTCTTTTTAATTCCTTATTGTTCTTGTTCTGTAATAATGTATTTTCTTTTTCCTATATTCTTTTGCACTCACTAACCACCAACATCTTAGTGAATTTATTGCCTTGCTAGGGGTGAAATGATTTTAAAAAAAGTTTAAGTTAAACATACATTGATGCGACCATCCCACACATTATATTTGAGTGCTGTTCTATTATATTGGGTTGGGGAATAAGTCGTGAGCGTTATTTTTTAAAGTAAAAAATCTTTGAAAAGCAGAACATTTGGCAAATGTTTTAGAACAATTTCTTATTGTTGTTCTAACATTTACATATATATATGATTTTTGTTAATTTCATTACTTTTTGCTTCTATTTCAAACTGCTAAAATGGAATGTCTTGGAAACAAAACTGCACATTTTCATCAAAGCAGCTCGTGAGGTTTGATGGCACAATGCCTCAAAGTACCACCAAACATTGGTTTTTGGGCTTCGAAAAAGGAAATTTTGAGCTGGAGGATAGAAAGCATCTCGGTCGACCATTTGAGTTTGATGGGGAGTGATTAAACCAGTTTCTTCATGAAAATCTACATCAGACGACCAGAGAATTGGTAGAACAGATGAATTGCAATCACAGAACTGTGGTAAATCCCCTTCATTCAATGGGGAAGTTTCAGAAACTTGGTTCATGGGTGCCACACTCATTGAATGACCACAGCAAGAATCAGAGCGCAACAATTGCTGCCAGTTTGCTGGCTCGGCGTCACTCAACATATGGTCATAAACAGTGTTTTTTTTTATGGCATTGTCACTGGTGATGAAAAATGGTGTCTTTACATCAATATAAAGCAGTGTAAAGAATGGCTCAGCCATAATAAGCAAGCAACATCTCGAGCAAAAGAAGAACTTCATCCTTGAAAGACTGTGTTGTGTGTATGGTGGGACTGGGAAGACATAATTCATTACAAATTGCTTGACTGAAACCAAAAAGTAAATGTTCAACAACCGCACACTCTTCGTGAAGCAATTCAGCAAAAAAGACCGAATCAGCAACAGAGTGTTCTTCAACATGACAACACCCGTCCTCATGTTTCCAATATGAACAAAACCGTTATTCAAGAATTTGGATCGGAAGTGTTGCCTCATCTTCCATAACTTGCCAGACTTAGCACCATCAGATTTTCATCTTTTTCACTCTCTTTTTAATGCCTTATGTGGCGTAACATTCAATACTGATGTTGAATTGAGGGTTTGGTTGGACAAATTTTTCAGCTCAAAATCAAGAGATTTTTATTGTCACAGAATAGAAAAACTTTGTGACTGATGGGAAAAAGTTATCAACAGCATTGTATTGTTGACTAATTTTAATTAATTTAACATTGTAAGACCATGACAATAAAACATTTTGAAAAAAGCTCATGACTTATTCCCCAACCCAATATTTGTACTGTAAAGGGACACAAGACCTGTGTGTTGTATATTTGCACAACTCTATATTGATTTTATTTCACATGAAGATAATGAGTAAAGACTAAGAATACTTACTTCAGTTTTGTCACAAGCAACAAGACGGAATTTCCTCAGCATTTGTACAACAGCCATCTTGAATTCAAGTTCAGCCAATCGCATTCCAGCACAGATTCGTGGCCCACCACCAAAAGGAAGATACGTGAAGGATTTTTGTTTGGCTTTGTTTTCCTCACTGAAGCTGTAATGACAAAAATTTTCATTATATTTATGAAAACATTTGTTGAATTCCTTTGAAAGAATGTTTTAGCTATTTTAAAAAAAATGGTTGACTCTTTAACTAAATGCCACAAAGAATCATGAGAAATTTTCTTGAAGAAAAACATATTTTGATAAGAATTGCCTTCACTAATCTATGATCACTGAAAGATTTTGACAAATATCAAATTTAACAACAGAATTAAAGGCATTGTTTCATTTTTAGAATTTACTAATTGTGAACATTACCAAAAAAGTTTCAGGTAAATATGCACCATCAAATGATAAAATATTCACAAAATAAAAGGAAATAATTGTTTATAAAATTGAATTTATTTAGGATGAAAACAACATATTTTTTATATTTCTAAATATGTATTTTTTTAGAAGACATTTGATCAGAGAATGAAAGAATAAATCTTTGAGGATAAATTAAATTTATCAACAAGTTCCTCTATAGAGTTTGCAATATGCTGGCATCACAGTAGCAAGTATGCAAATAACAATCAAATGTACCTCTTCTGAGGCAGTAGAAGTTACTTCAAAGTGGCTATGAATCAAGAGAAGGGTGCTGTAGGTGCAGAAATGATACCCAGATACCAGCTGAGGTATGGTCTTGGGTCACCTGAATGTGAAGTGTTTGATATTTTTGAAAGACCTCATGTATCAATGGACTCACTGATAATATGTCAAAATGTATCACAAGGTGATCTTTTGATTGATGGGGAAGGGTTTCTGTTCACTTTCATGGCCCCTTAATAAGATAAATGAAAATATTTCATCTTTTAATAATGTGAACTACTAGACCAAGTCATGAAGAAATGTATTCTGGGATACTGTCAGCTGATAGAATTCTTCCAATTAAATTGATAGGGAAGTCATTTTATATATCATTTATAGTTGTATATACACCAACAGTACTAAACACAGAAGAAATAGATAAGTTTCAGAGCACACTAGACAATTTCAAGACTTAATGAAAATTTAAGAAAAATTACCAGGGTGTTGGAAATGAATGAAACTGTGAAATAGTTGTCAAGTTTGGTCTAGGAACCATTAACAAAAAGTAAGAAAAAAAAGAATGGATAACAGATGAAATTCTCAAGATGATAGAGACAGGACAGCAAACAATGCCAAGGAGGGGTACAGATTATAGAATATGAAATGCAGATAAAATACAGGCAGACAAATGAGGAATGACTCAACAAAAGGAATGCACAAATAGAAAAAAGATGAGGTAAGTATGCATAAAAGAAATGACAGGACAAATGATGTGCTCACTCATCAGTTGTATAAAATCAAAAGAAGGATCACTCATAATAGACTTTGGAAAAAATAGCACAAAGCTAGAATAAATATGCTGGAAAACTACTTCACAAAAAAAGAGATAAACCAGCATTATACAAAAATATGGAAGGCCTGATAATATTAAAGTCTGAAGTGAGATCAGCACTTACAAAGATGAACAGGAACAGATGGGATTGTAATATTGCTGCTATCAGCCTTAGAAGATTTCAGCATTGACAAGATTATAGAAATAATAAAATAAATATACAGCAGTGGTAAAATACTAGAAAAACTTAATAGTGCCATCTTCATAGTGCTGTCTAAGAAGCCAGGTGCAAATGAATGCAAGCAAATATCAATCAGCTGCACATAACCAAGCTTATCATCCAGATTCTGATGAACAGAGCACCTAACAATTCAAATGCAGAAAGATGCATACCAATCTTTTGTAGATGACACAAAAGTTAAGTCAGAAAGATCTATTTGACTAGTAGGAAAACTTGATTTATTCAGGAGAGATATTAGTATTATCCACAACTTATACTGGGAGCAAGCTGCTTGTATTCAAACAGAAAATGATTTGCAAAAGTACAAATTAACAGAAGGGAAATAAAACAAGAATGTCACTACTCAGTGGATTTATACAACTTTTACAATGAGACAATTCTGAGAGAACTAGAAGTCCTATGAAGAATTAACAACATAAGATATACAGATGACACTATGTTGATGACAGAAACAAAAAAACACTGCAGGAAAACCTAGACAAGGTAGAAAAAGAAAGTGAGTAGATAGGACTAAGCAAGATATAATAAGACAACGTTATAGTCATTAGAAAAAAAAGCTCAAGATACAAACTATGAATTAGAGACGTCAAAATGAAATAAGTACAGCAGTTTAAATACCTGGAAGAAAACATAACACAAATCCAAAAGCACATTAGAATAGCAAAAGATGCCTTTCAAAAACTGAATTATGAAGAAACAAGAAAATTTAACTAGAAACAACAAGGAATTATGTTGCTCAACTGCAACATAATATCATTCCTCCTATATGGCAGTGAATACTTGACAATCTCACAGATGAAGAGAAAAATGGAAGCAACAGAAATATTTTTCTACAGAAGGATACTGAGAATACCATGGACAGAGTATGTAAGCAATGAGGAAGTTTTAGGGAAAAAATGGTAATAATAATTTATTATATCCTGTGAATATCAAAATCTCTGAGTTTTCTTTGCTTATAATTTCTCCAAGACATTTCAACTGCATCTTTCTGATTATAATTAGGACAATTATAATCAGAAAGATGCAAAGTGACGTACTTAATGAGTTTGGATGGCAGAACAGAAAGAGGAAAGAATAATAAAAAGATAAACATTGCAAAAGGCTACAAAGGAGAGGAAATTATTAGGATAAGTGTATGGTGGCAGAACAAAGAAGAAACAATGAAATTTTAAAGAAAGAAACAATTGTATTAATATAAAAATATCACAAATGATAAATCAGTGTTGGTATCTCTTGTTGAAAAAAGATGTAAGTGTAATCGTAAAAGGTGTCCGTCTGGTAAGGCAGATGTATGGAAGAAGAGGAAGGATGTGTTGTGACTTACTGCGGTGACAAACTTTGGCAAGATGTCCATGTCTGTCTCTTGGAGATAGAAGGTTGCTTTCTGACAAAATCTGGGGACCCTGGCACAGTTGCTGTCCAACTTCAAAATGGGCTTTTACTCCTTTCTCAGATTCAAATCAGGTCCACTTTTTATTTTGTTTCTTTAAACGGGAGTGGATGCTATTGGGTGGAAATTTTGGATTGTATTGCTTATTTTTTCTTTAAGTATATGAGTAAAAACGGAAGGTATGTGTGAAGCTTTGTGCAATTGATAGAATTTTAGTCCAGTTTTGGGTGATCATAGTGTCAATACCTGACCAATGAGGGAAATTAGTGTAGCATGAATCAGAAGAAGATCTGGATTTAAGAAGAATTTAATAAAGTTATGGAGAACCTTGATTGCCTATATCCTGAAGGGACATGGCACATTAAAGAAGAAGACTGTAGACATTTATATCACATGTGCAATTGTATAGATTGATATAGATAAATAAGAATTTGGAAATGAAGAAAATTAGCTTTCAATTATTGAATTTTATATTGAATTTAGCAACTATTTGCTTGACCTTTATTCACTATACAAACTAATTAAAGGTTGAAGGTCCTGTGGTTGTCCAATAGAAGTGTTAAGCTGAATGAATTTGGCAATGATTTGAAACTAGAGTTTTGTCTCTTCCAGGTTACTTGTCTCACCACTTAGTTGTTTAATACTCACTGTTCAGGATCAAACTTTTCCGGATCAGTCCAATACCTTGGATCATAATGTAAACACATGACTGGAAACATGACTTCAGTATTCTTGGGAATTTTCATTCCCTTAACGACGCAGTCTTCTTTTGATTCTCTTGTCAGTCTGTCAAAGAGAAAACAATAATATTTATTATAATTCAATATAATTTCTCTCACTGAAAGATTACAAATGATTTTCATGTGCAAATAAGCAAAATTCATGCACATGATATATAAATGTAGTTAAGACTAAGGACAACAGTTTAGAGTGATGTGATATCAATGTCAGCTGATATCCTGTTAAATGGAAAATGAAAACAGCTGACCTGTCAGAAAAATGGTTTCAGACATTTATTTTCCTGACAACTATCAGCTAAGTGAAGTGGTCTTCACAAGGACTATGGCAAGTGACCTGGACGAAGAAAGTCACTGAATGAAGATAAATTGCTTTTTTAGACAAAGATGACAAGAAAAAGAACAATATTCTCTATAAGACAGTGGTCACTACCAACCAAAAACAAATCATGGTCTTGTAGGATATTATTCAACCCCATTGAAAAATCTGCACACACTCTTAATTTACCAGTCTTTTTTTTTTTTTTCATAATTACAATGGGCACTGCCCAACTTGAAGAGTCGACTGTTGAAATAAATTGTGAAAATCCTTGTTCACTGTCTCAATGGTAGCAAAGGGGACAGTGTTTTTGGTATAAAAGTCAGTCTTACATTTTCTTTTGCTTGTAAAGATGCCTTTACTTTAGTGCAGAGAACCAATTCCTCTGGAAACAAGTCTTTATACTTTTGTATAATATCTTTCTTTAAACTGCCAATATTTGCATTTGAGTATCTGATGGACTCACAAATAGAACTGAATGATTCATTCTATAAATTAAACAAGTGCAGCCAATCTGCACCAAATAAATTTAACCGTTTTCCTTTTGTCACAGAAAGAGATGAGAAAAGATTTAACAGAAGATCAGTTCAAATGTTTAATTACATTTGAACTGATCTTCTGTTAAATCTTTTCTCATCTCTTTCTTTTTTTCTTTCATACCAAGTATGGAAAACAGATTTTTTCACAAAAAATTGTCAACAAAACTTTTATTGTGTTTTTAAAATCCATGTCACTTCTTTTTATTTTGTAATATAAAATTATAAAATTATAGTACCTTTCGTGTTCTTTTGTTCTAGACCTCATCAGTATTAATTGCACATTTTTTCATCAGTCAAGCCCACACATTCTTTTTTTAAAAAAAATCCACAAAATGTTGAAAATATATCTCAAACATGAGGTTATCCTCTGGGGTGTACTTAAATTCCAAAACTAAATTAGAAATGATATTTGTTGGACTTGAAATTTTTTCTCTTTTGTTTAAGAACGCTTCCGAAACCTGTGTCTAGTGTCGGACAGTAGCATGGAAAAAAAAATGATAATAAATCTTTACAAGTTGCTGGCTGAAATGATGTTAAATACCAAATCTATTACATTGGTTTCAGCATTAAAAATGAATGTGTCTTTCAGAAAGCTTTTTTTATTAATTGTTTTCTTAAAACTAGCTACATTACCAATTCTATCATTGTCTTTGGAGACATCAGCAAAAATGTAGTGGTGTTTGGAATAATGTTCTTTGATTTTGTGGAGCTTTTGTTTTTTGAGAATTCACTTAGGTCCAGGATTATTTCCAGTTGTTTAATCATCAAATGGGGGAGTAAGATAGTATGATGTGTGTGTTATTAAAAAAGGACATTTTTAATTCTGCAAGAACAAATTCCTTTTGAAGGTGAAATCGCTATATAACATTTACTTTTTTGTTGAATATAATCATATTTTAGATTAAAGGTGGAATCATAAGAATGATTAAAATCCAGTACTGCTATATAGAGTGATAGTTAGAACACAATAGGTCTTGTGAATAAAATGTAGAAGAAATTCCATTTGAGACACTATAATTACTTATTGCTGTATTACATTTGGAACATGCAGATTGGTGTTGTTATGCAGTCAATGTTACCTGAAGGTTCTAAACCAAGAATGAGTCTCTTCTTTCCAAACGTCATGCAAATGATTCCATATGTCATGCAAATGATTCCATACATCATGCAAATGATTCCATGTCATGCAAATGATTCCATATGTCATGCATAATTCCATACGTCATGCAAATGACTGATTATGATCATAATGAGGCAATGATTCATACCTGGGATATTTTCTTTATTCTGAAATTTCACAAAACTTAAATAGTAAAATGTAAAGTAAATGTTAAAAAACTTACAGTAAAGCAATTGGATACATCCTCAATGTTTCATCCATGCACATTTCAAGATAGGAGAGATTCTGCACATTGTCATAATTTGGAAATTCCTACAAAAAGACAAAAATATCAATCTACGGGTAATTCTACTTGCTTCAAAAGGTCGTCATTAGTCAACAACAGTTAAATAAATAAAATCCTGATTTTTTAGCTTGGAAAAGGAGCACTTGAAATATTTGGTCCATAAGTATTAATAAAGGTTTAGTGTAGCTTTAGACATTGCCTAAATTCATTGATAATCAACTGAATCTTTTAAAATCAGGAAATTCTATAAATAAAATCCCAATTCTTTATTTGGAGAAGGATTTCTGGAGATAAAATGGGACAAGAATAAAAACAAAATCCACACAGATTCTAAAAACTCAGATTTGGATAAATAAAAGTTTTGACCTGTCCAAGTTTTTCTTTTATTTCTTGGTAAAGTTTCTCCTGAACATCTGGATTCATTGCCATAGAATAAGCAAAGTAGGACAGAGTGCCTGCTGTAGTCTCAAAGCCAGCAACAAAAAACAACATGCATTGTGCAATGATTTCTATATCTGTGAGACCTGAAAAACTCAAGAAAATTATATCAATAAAAATATAAAATACCTCAACAGGTAAAGGCATCAGTTTAACCAGATTTTTTCTATGGCATTAAGTCAGAAGTAAATCTTTGACCTCTTGTACTTAATTTGTCAGTTTTTTACTTTTAAATCATTCATGGGACATAGGTCATTTACAAATGGTTAGTATTTGAAAAGTGAATATATGACACATTGACATAAATATGGGTCATATTTAGTTGATATTAAAATTTGCTCATGTTGGCTTTAAACTAATGAATATTTTATTCTGAATATAAAAAAGTTTTATGTTCCTTAGTTCCAATGAGATAGAATTAGGCAATAAACCATTTCAGAGCCGATTATGATGCCAGAGACTAGATTCTTTAAGAAACCGAACAAGAGAATGATGAAGGTTACAGTCTTATAAAGAATTCTTTGATAAGAATACAAAACAAAGCTTTTCTTCAAATAGTTTTATTGACTCTTATGAGATAAAAGAGTAAAGGGTCATATTAGGTCAAATTCACAACAAAACCAAACTGTCTTCATTATTTTTTCATTAATTCCCATTTTTAGCTGAATGTTAATCAGATGACATGACATTAACCATCCCAGGTAAAATCAGGTCACCTTGCCAGTAAACTATGTTTAATGAGAAACAAACTGCCTTTACCTCTTTTTGTTCTCCAGTCTGTTATATTTTCCAGTTTTAGATCTTGTTCAGTTTTCTTGTCCATCTTTTCATGGCCTTCAAGTTGAGCATCTAACATCAGCTGGAGCAGATCCTTGCGGGCCTGTAATTTTAAATGACACAAAAACCAAGAAAAAATGCATTCCTGAACTTTGATGACATCACTTCCTCCATTTTAACATATTACAATTGTCATATTATTTCTATGTCTCTCTATATATAAAGCTGTAGTCTATCTGTTTGTTATCAAACTCTTTTTAGGGTTTAACAGAGAGAAACCAATAACCATATATATTCTGAAACTACATTACTCAGGGTACTTGGATAAGTATATTTCATTTTGAGCAAAGGGGCCCCCCGGGACCTCCTCCACTGAAAATGTTTCTCTTTGATTTAAATTAAATTGAAATTTGAACAAGGGAATGACTCCTATCCAAAATGTAGAAGGAGAAAGCCAGAAGATGGAGGTCAGATCAATAAAATCAAAATGAGTCAATATGGATGTCAAGAAATCACCAATCAGCAGGTATTGCCTTACAATATATATTTGTTGTGACAATACAAGATTTATATCAATGTTGAAATCTGCTCATCAATACAGTCAATCAAGTATTGCATCAAATGCATATCAAAGGAGTCAGATCAAGATGTTTTGCACAAACCCCCAACTAAAAGTTTTTTTCCCTTTGATTTAAATTAGATTTAAATTTGAACAAGGGAATAACTACAATGAAAAATATAGAAGGAGAAAACCAGAAGATGGAGGTCACATCAGCAAGATCATTGAGTAATATTGAATGGCATCATTTTTCTCCACAAATTATAACAATGATTAAAGTCAATCATCATTTTCTGACAGGCAGTGAGGCATGGGTAATTTGGCAGGTGAAAAGATAAAGGCCATTTTTTTTCGAACAAGAATGGCCATTAACCCACTTAGGTTAAAATGAACAATTATTCCCATATCATTTCCCAATATTCACGCTAGTTCAAGGATATTGGCATTTTTTTGTGATTAAGATACATACACATTTGTTTTCCTTTTTTCTTTGAACCAATTCAAGAAATTTAAATTTCCAAAGTATTATTCCTGGTTTCAATTTTCTATGATGGATCAATTTTGAAAAAGAAAAAAAAATTCTGTAATTGAAAAAATACATGACAAAGTCATCATGAACATTTACAGGATGATCTCTTTCTGAATATGGACAATAGGAAAATCAAAAAAGAATGTTTTAAATAAATGAAAAAACTTTCAATCTTGAACAACTAAAAAACTAAAAAGAACATCAGAAGGATCAATAAGATAAAAGAAGAAAAGAGAAAGTTGTAAATCACATGACAAAGTCATCATGAAAACCTTGCAGATCTCTTTCTATGATGGATCAATAGGATAAAAGAAGAAAAAGGAAGATTGTAAATCACATGACAAAGTCATCATGAACACCTTGCAGATCTCTTTCTATGATGGATCAATAGGATAAAAGAAAAAAAGGAAAGGTTGTAAATCACATGACAAAGTCATCATGAACACCTTGCAGATCTCTTTCTATAATGGATAAAAGAAAAAAAAAAAGGAAGATTTTTCAAATCACATGACAAAGTTGTAAAATCACAACAAAGTCATCATGAACACCTTGCAGATCTCTTTCTATGATGGATCAATAGGATAAAAGAAGAAAAGGAAAGGTTGTAAATCACATGACAAAGTCATCATGAACACCTTGCAGATCTCTTTCTATGATGGATCAATAGGATAAAAGAAGAAAAGGGAAGATTGTAAATCACATGACAAAGTCATCATGAACACCTTGCAGATCTCTTTCTATGATGGATCAATAGGATAAAAGAAGAAAAAGGAAGATTGTAAATCACATGACAAAGTCATCATGAACACCTTGAAGATCTCTTTCTATGATGGATCAATAGGATAAAAGAAAAAAAAGGAAGATTGTAAATCACATGACAAAGTCATCATGAACACCTTGCAGATCTCTTTCTATGATGGATCAATAGGATAAAAGAAGAAAAAGGAAGGTTGTAAATCACATGACAAAGTCATCATGAACACCTTGCAGATCTCTTTCTATGATGGATCAATAGGATAAAAGAAGAAAAGGGAAGGTTGTAAATCACATGACAAAGTCATCATGAACACCTTGCAGATCTCTTTCTATGATGGATCAATAGGATAAAAGAAAAAAAGGAAAGGTTGTAAATCACATGACAAAGTCATCATGAACACCTTGCAGATCTCTTTCTATGATGGATCAATAGGATAAAAGAAGAAAAGGGAAGGTTGTAAATCACATGACAAAGTCATCATGAACACCTTGCAGATCTCTTTCTATGATGGATCAATAGGATAAAAAGAAGAAAAGGGAAGATTGTAAATCACATGACAAAGTCATCATGAACACCTTGCAGATCTCTTTCTATGATGGATCAATAGGATAAAAGAAGAAAAAGGAAGATTGTAAATCACATGACAAAGTCATCATGAACACCTTGAAGATCTCTTTCTATGATGGATCAATAGGATAAAAGAAGAAAAATGAAGATTTAAATCAAAAAGTAATCATGAACAATAAATCCATTCTATGATGGAAATACTTAAAAGAAAAAAAGGAAGAAAAGGAAATCAAAGTTAAAAATAAATTAAAAATTGTGGATCACATGAAAATCAATGACTTTTCATCATTAATGAGAAATAAATCTGATTGCAATAATATTGAAGATCTCTTTGCATTATGGATCAATATGGATTTATAAAAGAAGAAAAGGGAAGATGGAAATCACATGAAAAGTCATCACCAAACATTTTTTAGATTTATTTCTAAGAGGATCAATTTGGATAAAAAAGAAAAAGGAAGGTTTATAAATCACAAATCAAAGTTCATGAACACCTTGAAGATCTCTTTCTATGATGGATCAATAGGAAAAAAAAAAAAAAAAGATTGTAAATCACATGACAAAGTCATCATTTTTCCTTTGTATCTCTTTCTATGATGGATCAATAGGATAAAAGAAGAAAAGGGAAGGTTGTAAATCACATGACAAAGGATCATTTCAATCATTATTCTGAATATTGTTGTTCATTTTTGCAGATCTCTTTTCTATGATGGATCAATAGGATAAAAGAAGAAAAGGGAAGGTTCATAAATCTTTTCTATGACAATAGGATCAAACATGCAAAAAAAGGAAATGTTCAAAATCATTATTCATCATAACACCTGTTCTCTTTTTAGTAACAATCAATATTCTGAAAATAAAGAGACAAAGGGCAATTTAATTGATCTATGATGGATCAATATTTCATAGGAAAGGTTGTAAAATTCTCTAATTGTTGTTCAAAGGAAGATCAATTTATATTCTGGATCAATAGGATAAAAGAAAAAAAAGGAAAGGTTGTATTGATATTAGAAACAAAGTAGATCTCTTTCTATGATGGATCAATAGGATAAAAGCAAAAAGGAAATTGTTGTTCAATTTTATGACAAAATTTATCATTCTGACAAATTGAAGATCTCTTTCTATGATGGATCAATAGGATAAAAAAAAATGTCTTCCTTGTAAAATACATGACAAAGTCATCATGAAACCTTGAAGATCTTTTTTATGATGGATCAATAGGATAAAAATAAAAAAGGAAAGGTTGTAAAATACATGACAAAGTCATCATGAACACCTTGAAGATCTCTTTCTATGATGGATCAATAGGATAAAAGAAGAAAAGGGAAGGTTGTAATCACATGCCAAAGTCATCATGAACACCTTGCAGATCTCTTTCTATAATGAATCAATAGTATAAAAGAAGAAAATTGATGGTGATAGTAACATTGCGAATAAATCCATCATAAGAAACTTGCAGATTTCCATGTAAATCACGATATAAAAAAATAAATTAAAAATTGTCATATACAATTAAATACTGTTCAGAAGTTTGAATTATGATTACTTTCATTATTAATGAGAAATAAATCTGTTTACATAATATTGGCTTGATTAATATATTAATTCCTTAAATGCATTATAGTGAGTACATGGGGTTTTATTTTACTTACGTAACAGCAGATGGAAAAATAGTAAAAAGTCACCACCAAATATTTTTTTAGCATTTATGACAAGAGGACTGTTTGGATTTTCCTGTGAATCTACTTTAATTCCAAATCCAGTTGACGCAATCACATCCATTGTATAACCTGAAAATAAACTGTAAAAAAAAATGAAGTAATATTTGATGCTTTAGTCTATTTTCTTTTTTATTTGTAGTAACAATTTATATTCTGACAAATGTAGAGACAAAGGGCAAGGCCTTAATTGATATTAGAAACAAATATGTCTTCCTAGTGTAGCAATATTTCATACATGCAGGGAAATGTTCAATGCATTATTCTCTATATTGTTGTTCATTTTTAGTAACAATTTATATTCTGACAAATAGAGAGACAAAGGGCAAGGCCTTAATTGATATTAGAAACAAATATGTCTTCTTAGAGTTGCAATATTTCACACATGCCTACAAATGTTCAATGCATTAGTCTCTATTTTCTTGTTCATTTTTAGTAACAATTTTAATTCTGACAAAAGGAGAGACAAATGGTAAGTTGTTAATTCATATTAGAAACAAATATGTCTTCCTAGTGTAGCAATATTTCATACATGCATACAAATTTTCAATGCATTATTCACTATATTCTTCTTCATTTTTAGTAACAATTTACATTCTGACAAAAGGGACACAAAGGGCAAGTTCTTAATTGATATTAGAAACAATTACGTATTCAAAGAGTTGTAATATAAAAAAAAAATAAATAAGAATTAGCTATAAGAAGTATTGAATATCTGGCATAAGATACTAAGTCATTAATTGCATTGACTATCATATCAATATATGGTCTCTTCAGCATTCCATATCTGGATTGAATCATAAACTGCATTGAACATCAAATCAAGATCTTGAGCCAAGATATGTTTCTTTTTTTCTTATTTGATCAAATTTCATATTTCATTCCTTCTTTCCCCTTCCACAGATATCTATTATGAGGGAAAAATGGTCACGCAATTTTTTTCCTTTTCTTCTTTCTTGTCAATCTTTCACATCACAATTTCAAAAGAGAAAGAGAACAGATGTAATTCATCAGATGTGACAAAATAAACAGAATCTGAAAAGCCAATTTCCTTAAACTATTTGCAATAACTTGTGTATGTTGTCAAAAATGTGGACACATTTTTCTGATATCCTTACTATTATTAGCTTATCATGTTTTTAAATGCATGAAATCAAACAAAGGAAATTATTCTAGTGATGGATTATTTGGGGTACCATAAAATATTTTGGGGTACCATAAGATATTTTGGTATCATATGATATTTTAGATGAAAGCCATTTGATAATACAATCTCACACAAAGTGATTCACATGGTCACAACAGTTGCTTCCTAAGTATTACCATTCATTACCAACCTTCCTTTGTGTGATTATTTTATTCAATAACCTTCCCTAAGTTATAACAATAAAAATATTATATCTTCACCAGTTTATATTATCAGACATGTTTGCTCCCAATCCACAATTTTCATCTTCTTGTTTGATCAACTTTTATATTTTATTCCTTTAACATTATTTCTCCAAAAGAAATCAAATAAATGCTTATCTAAAATATTTTTCCGAAAGACCAGCTATCTTTCATATAGTTGTATCCTGTTGGAATTCTTTAAGTCAAATAGAATACATCAAACTTTAAATGCATGAAATCAAAGCAAAAGAAAATATTCTAGTGAGAGTCTCCTTGGGGTACCATAAGATATTTTGGGGTACCATAAGATATTTTGGTACCATAGATATTTTGGTACCATAAGATATTTCAGATGAAAGCCATTTGATAATACAAACATACAACAAAGTGACTCACATGGTAACATCAGTTGCTTCCTTGCTATCCGCAATCTTATTTAAGTTTTTTTCAAAAGTCTTCAGAACATCTTCAATCAAGGGAACGATCTGAAATGAAAAAAAAACAACGTAAAATTAACAAACATTTTAATGAAGTCTTTTGAAATTTATTTAAAAATGTCATTCAGGTAGAATTACATTATTTATTTTCATGTTTCTTCCATTTTAATTTAGATGCCATTTTAATTTAGATGCCATTTTAATTTAGATGCCAACTACTTTTCTGGTAATGTCATTCTTTATCCTAAATTGTTCATCAGGAATACTGAAGGAAAATGGGACCAGAGGAAAAGATCAGTTATTTTCATTTTTCTTTCATCCAATGTCTGTTAGTTGTTGCTCATATGATAATGTCATTCTTTGCACTAAAATTCTCATCTGGGATAATGAGATGTTTAAAAATGGAATCATATAGAAAGAGATCTTTTATTTTCATTTGTCTTCCATCTTATTTTAGATGAATGCTACTCATGTAGTAATGATGTTCTTTATCCTACATCTAGCATCCTAACTTGATATATATATATATATATATATATATGTATGTATGTATACTTAATCATTATCAATTAGTTTCTATATTAATGTAACTCATTTGCTGCAAAAATATGCTTAAAGTAATATTTTAGCAAATATGGACCTCACGCATTCTTTTCGAGCTGTAAAATGGTGCCAAGACAGTACGAAGGTATTTCCAATGATCGTCTTTTGCCATAAGTAACATGTTTGCACTGTACTCATCTATCTTGAATGGTATCTGTTAAAGAAAACAATTTATTAAAAAAAAAAGAAAAAAAAGATTTCAGAATTAAAGCACACACACACACACCTATTATAAACCAAATTTGATGTATACTATCTTTCCTCATTTTATATACACTGTGTTCCTTCATAAACCTTGTAGCACTAAGCCATATTTGACATTTATTATCCATCCCTGTTTATCTTCTGCAATCCATAATAAATACGTTATTCTTTGTTTCTGCCCTTCCGGTTTTGAATATATAGAAGATTAGAAAAGGCTCTCTTTTACTGTGATCTGATGATGAGAAGGGATGCTAAAGTTAGCGCTCTGTATAAAACATGCACATCGTGTAGACAGTACACCTGATTCACTCACTAATTCACCAGCTTTGCTTTCAATTTTTACAGAAATTTTTAAGAATATTCCTTGAAATTTTCTCTACATGAAAGATGTTCCCAATAGAAAAATATTTCTATCTTGTTTTGTTTCACTATTGTTTGTCTACACTATTAATTTTTTGTTCAAACATAATCCCCCCCCTGATCTAGTAACAATATTTTGGTGTCCACAAGATTAACTATGAGTTTCTTCATTTTTTGCTTTATAAATATTTGCCTGGCAATGGGGTCACTCTCATGGTTCACACTTAGACAGGTTTTACTGTATATTTTACTGCATTCCTAAATCTCTTATTGAATGTTAAGTCATCAATATGGTTGTTCATACTTTCTCCTAGGCTTTGCCATATCCATAACGGGATATTCTTGAAACAGTGACTTTGTTACTATCTGATCATTTTCTGTGCCCCATTGAATCCATTTTACTCTGAATTTGTAACAGGATTTTAGTTCATAATTGCTGAAATACTTCACCATTTCATTACCTTCCTAGTTTAGCATTTATTTCAACAAATAAAAACTTAATTTCTTGTTATTTGCAAGGATTCTTAGTGATGTTCATTCTGCTAACGTACCTTGCACCATATGTAGCCAACAAAAAAAAAACTGGTATAGATGCTAACCACAAAAAATATTTTATATGCAAGTTTTAACTTAGTTAAAGTTTTAAACCTTTTGTTTTTCTGAGAGAAGAAAAAATTCCTCAAAGACACATGACCAAGTGGATAAAGACATTGGTTAGATCCAGTGACTACATCCAAAGGTTTGTGAGTTCAATACCAAGTCAAAGCAGTGGTGAACCAAAAACTTGGAGAGTTGAGTTAAAGGGAAATAACTGAGACATCCGGAAGAAGGAGAGCATGTGGAACTAGAATAATCTACCCCGTTGGATGAAATAAATGGTTTGGTTTGAAATTTCAATCACTTGAAGAAGACTGGACCACAAAACGATCAAAATATTGTGAATATGGCAAGAAGATGAGGATAACAGTCCAAGTAATGTAAATAATGCAAGTAATCATAATACCTCATCTCAGAGATACAGACAGAAAAAATTCTCTTACCTTTACCACGGAAGTCAGTTGTGGATTAAAACAAAACTTTTCATTTAAATTCATGTTCAGTATAAATGTGAAAGATGTGATCAAATTTATGAATAAATTATCATAATTAATAAAAATATAATTACAGATTTCAAGTTGAAAGTTATGTCCTATCCTAAGGTCCAATGAAAAGCTGGAATTTCAGATGCTGATTTTCAAAGCAGATAGATCCTGTCCCCTTTAGAGATTGGCACAACACAATCTTCCTCCTCCCATTTCCCTGAATTTGTTTTTCTCAACAACTAAACTAAAATTGATAATCATTAATGTCTTTTAACCATGACTGAAATTAATAAGAAAAAATTACTTACAGGTCTGTTTGTAAAATTGGAGAAATTTTTGACCATCACATCTTTAATAATTTCAGGGTCAGAAATAATCAGACTTGGTTGCAATCCAAAAAAGATGCTACAAGAAAATAAATAAACTCAATAATGACTGAATGGAATTAAAATTTAAGATAGAAATAAAAAATGATCATGTTTCATTAGTTTTGAAAAAAAAATTGCTTTTAGAATAAACTCTTGGCAAAAAGAAATATATCTTAGTTTATGAAAAAAGTTTCCTTAACAAAAGAAGAAAATTAAAATTTTTACTGATCAAAAATCAAGCTTGGATTTTTTTTCTTGCATCTTCATCTTTACCAATTCTCCAAGCTTGTAAAAAATGTATTCCAATACCACCTCAACATTTAAAAGTTTCTTTTTTTTTATCATAAACTTTTTCCTTGATAAATCTTGAAAAGAAAAAAGGTTGTCTCTTTGCCAAATGACCTTTGAAATCAACAAGTCTCTAAATGAAATCAAATACTCTATCAATCCATTTTAACCACTGCCTGTAAAAAATATATTTTCCATTTTCCTCTTTGATTATTCATTTTTAGAATTTTGAAGATTTTGGAGAAAAATCTTTGTTTATCATTTCAAAATTTCTTTTCTTAAAATATTCATGCTGACAGCTAACTCCTCTCAAGTGATTGCATAGAAAAATTTTTTACCCATATCTGTCTCCATATTTTTTCTTCCAATCAAAAAATATATTGTAAAGTCCCTGTAAGAAAAAAACACAGTGAAAAGTTTAAAAAAATCTAATACAAAAATTTTGCACAAAGGATGATGTTTAAAATGAAAATACATTTAAAAAAATTAAATTAACTAAAATTACATATTTAAGAAAATAGCTTAAGAAATGTTGAAGTATTATTGTTTGTGTAAAATATAATTGTTCATTATTATTAGAAATTCATAAAAATAAATTATTTTTTACTATTTCATCAATATAGCTTGATTTTTCAAGATATTTTTGAATCAGTATAACTAGATGTGTCTTGTATATTTTTCACAATAATCTGCTTATATGAAGATATGAAAATTAATGCAAAAAACACTGCAGATGAAATATACAGCAGAAAATTATTGCACCAATAAAGTTTCTAAAATGACTGATTAAATCTCATTCCTGATCCAAGTTCATATTTTTCTCTTTTTTTTATAGTATTTAGAAGAATAAAAGATTCTGAAATTTTCCTCAGTTTGCTATGGTTAACGTTATGTTCTCAACTGGAATAATAATTTTCAGTCAGGAAGTAAATAAAATCAGTCACTCAGCATGTCAGAGATTAAAATGTTTGAAATGAGGATTTCTTAAAGAATTTTAAAATCTCAATGAATTTCTTTTTCAAATTTTAAATACTCACTCTTTGACTTATTTCCAAAAGATTTCCAAAATAAGCAATTGGTTTTGGGCCTTTAATTCCATATTCAATAAAAAAGCCAAAAGTTCTTCTTCCATAGCTATAAAAGAAAAATTTCACTAAAATATCATTTCCTACTAAATAGATAAAACAAAGGACATAGTGGACATTCAAAACTGCTTTTAATCATTTTAGGGAAAAGGACAAATTAAAATCCAAATCCAAATGAATAAATATTTCAGTTGACAAATTTTGCTTCAATTTAAGACTCATACTTTCAGATACATAATGTGATCTTTTCTTTTAAGGATTATGTAAATGACATTTATGGCATTCATTTTGTATATCTACTTCCAGATTATTAGGTAATTATCTTAAAATTTTGAATTAATTGCAACAAATCCAAATCAAATGAATAAATATTTCAGTTGACAAATTTTGCTTCAATTTAAAACTCATACTTTCAAATACTTAATGTGAACTTCCAGATTATTGAATAATTATCTTTTTGGTCTTAATTACATCTTATTAATTAATTAATTGTAGAACCTTTCATGTAAAGTATTGGTAGATATTGAAAACAAGGGGAACGAATAGAATGGAGAGAATTTGGTAGAACTATTCCCCAAAGTTTTAGGTCCATATTGTATATTTTTAATGCCAGGTGAATATTTCTCCAAATAAATCCATTGTACTATTCAACTTGTGAATTGCTTGTTGGGTAGTATGAAATAGACATGCTTTAATTCTTGTCTAATAAAGATGCATCTCTATCAGAATAGACATAAGATGGGAACCTGTAAAGGCTGAAAATTTGTTTAAGGCATCTTATCACTGTTGCTGAACTGACATTTAGATATAAAAAGGCAAATGGGAAATAAGAAAGTTCATCTGTAGCAATCAGCAAACCTTCTTCACATTGAATATGGAAGGTTTTTGCATTTAATGAAGTGTAACATCAGTGTGACTCCTGGGTGACAAACTATAGTGAAGTTCATTTAGACATGAACTTATTAGGGCTGCACAGTGAGATTGTGTTAAGGCATTCGGGACAATATTGTCAGGTCCTTGTCTCTATGTGGTTGAATAACTAAATTCAGTCATCTCTATTCTCCAACTTTGCTGTTCTTAACCTTTGTTCGCTTTCTATTGTTAAACATGAACGTTGATCAGTTATTTGATTGCACAACTTTAAGTATCACCACTTTCTATGGCTTCAATGATATCTGAAGCCTCTTTTTCCATTGAAGGGTAGTTTAATTCACTTTTATTTAGGCTGCATTTTGATTAAGAGTTTCAGACTCAGCAACATCAGAGGCATTATATTCTACCAAAAAAGAAACATTTTCATCAATAGAACTATGCATTGCAGAACACTATTTGAGTTCATTAAAAATTCCCAAAGCTTCTTTACTTATCAGAAAAGATTTAGTATTGATCAATGGATGGATTTTATTAGAAAACAAAGGAATCCATTTGGAATAATGTGGAAACATACCTATGGCCCACCTCAGTGAAGCAGTATCTGATGGGGATGGCAATATCTGAAGTGGACACAGGCAGTCAGGATCTGGCTGAATAGTATTATGGCTTACATCATAGTACCATGGCGTTCTATATTAATAGGCCACTGCGTAGCGCTGCTAACTCGATAGACTAAAAAAGCCGGCTGACAATTAGATCGTTTTAGTTTCAGTTTGAGCGAACTGCTGCGTACTGTGTACTCTTATGTTGTTGGCTCGAGAAATTCAAAGGAATCTTTTAATTTTACCTTTGGTTGGAATATCATTTAACTTATTTATTTGAAGTAAGTATATTTGATTATTTTAGTTTGAGTCCATAATTGTAAAAAATAAACTTTTTGGTGCTTAAATTTACTCGCACAAAAAGATTTACTTAAAGTTTAAAAAGCCTTAACATTTTTAAATTAAAGTTTAATTAATTTTTGGCATTTTCCCTCTTAAAGTTTGTTCAACATTTTTTGATTAAAGTTTAAAGAATTATTTATTGATAAAATGCAATTCTTTTTGAGAAATTTGTGTTATTTTAAGAAGCAAAACAAAACAACGTTTAACAAATTTGAACAGAATTTAATTTAGTTTCTTCAAAGACGTAAAGAAAACTATTTTTATTATAAAATGAATTAAAAATGTTTTTTTTCATAAATTCAATGTCATTACTTAATTTGATATTTATTTTTGATATCGCTAAAAAAACATTGTTAGTATGAGTGAAAAGTGAAAACAACGTCAACGAAATTAAAGTTTAATTTTCTCAAGTTTTTAAACATGATAAAAAATTAGCATAAGTCAACATTTTTCTATTAAAAGTTTAAGTTTGAATAATAAATTTGAATAAAATTTTTAATTGAGAAAGGTTCATTAACATTTCTCTATTAAAACTTTATCCAACATTTCCATTAAAAAAAACAAACGAATTTCTTCGCGCTTTTGTTTCCGAAGTTAAAGAATAAATGATTTTTACTCCATTAGTTACCAATTGGTGAACTGTAAGTATTTTTTACAGAAAAAAACAATAATAAATTTATTACATACAGTTAATGTCAATATTTTAATTATTTTTTTTTTTTAGAAAGGTCTCCTTTTTTACGCCTTTTGACTACAAAATTTATTTTACAAGACAAGTTAATACCATTTTATTTTTATTTATTATATTTATTTTAATATTTTTCTGATATTGTTGTTAAAGGACAAATCACAAAATGCATTATTTTTACTTTACTTTTAAATTGTTTTGCTTTAAGGTAAAAAAAAATGTTATATATATTCCTATTTAAAGCGTATTAAAATAACCAAACTAAAGGAAAGGCTAATGAATGTTTTTAAATTTAATATAAAGTTTTAAACTAAAGTAAACAACATTGGCCTTCAAATTTTGATACCAAAGTTAATGGAAAAATACGTCCAAAAAATCCACCTTCTGTATGGCTAGGTGTGCCAAGTAGTCAAATACCAACACCCTCAGCTGTTCAAAGGAATATAAAAAAAAAACCTCCAGTACTGTTAGAAATCAAATTGCTGATGAACTTAATGCTTTTTTAGAATTAAAATTATACAAATTTGAAAGAAAGTCTGCTTAACAACAAAAAAGACTTTATATGTCCAGTTGTAGCATTTTTGGATGAAAATATTTTAACTGTTCAATTATCAAACAAAATCTATTGATGGTATTCCTCTCTTTATGTTGAAAATTTATAACAATTTGCGCTTTGAAACATTTCATTATGGAGTTAAGTGTTATATTAGCAGCCTGTCCAAAAATCATATAAATACAGCTGATACTTGGTCAAAACTGGAAGAAATCATCCGATATTTAAATTCTATGGCTTTTGATCACAAGAAAAATATCCTGAGTCAACAATTTTTAGCAATGGCTCCCAAAATGGTTGGAATAAAATAGAGCTCAGATATAGTTGTGCATGCTTTTGGGTACTATGCAAGATCACGGACATTGTATAATGAATTAAGATATGATTTTCAATTACCCTCATTAGCAACATTATGAAGGATGACGTCAAAAGTTTCAAAACTTAATGAAAAATCTTTTTTGTTATCTATATTTAATACTCTTAATACCAGTCAAAAAGGGTACATAATTCTCCATGATGAAGTATATATCAAAAAGATGTTGCTATATCATGGCAAACAACTATTTGGTAAATCAGTTGACAATCCATCTGTACTTGCTCAAACAGTACTTGGTATACTGTTGATATGTCACAATGGGGGTCCAAATTTTCTTACAAAATTGATTCCAATTTCAAAATTAACATCCGCCTTTTTATTTGAACAAATTGAGTTAACAGTCCAAGCCATTACATCTGTACCAGCTATTATATGTGATGGCAACTGCGTAAATCAAGCTCTTTTTAAATTATATCCTACACTTCCTGAAAAACCTTGGTCAACTGAAGATAATAAACATTTGCTTTTTGATTATGTTCATCTGTTGAAAAATATTCACAATTTGTGGCTGACAGAAAAACACGAGAACTAATCTTTGATGATGATGGAGTAAGTCGAGTTGCAAAATGGACATATCTTAAACAGTTATATCGTTTTGAATCTGAAAGACTAGTCAAACTTTCAAATTTAAATGAAATTTCCATTGCTCCAAAGCCAATAGAAAGACAACGGATTTCTACTTGCCTCAGAATGTTTTCTGAAAAAACATATAATGCACTTCTCACTCAGTCTGAAATAAGTGCAGGTAAGAATGATACTGCCCTCTTCATAAACAAGGTTTTGACATGGTGGAAAATTTTAAATGTTAAATGCCTTCAAATTGATAAATTACATAATGATCCTCTACAAACTGAAATCAAATCTCCAAATGATACCCGACTTGATTTTATCATTGAATTTGGTAAAATGGCTCTTAATATGGCTGGCAGTCAAGGTAATCGTAAAAAACAATTATCCCAAAACACTGCTACTGCCATACATCATATTTGCAATGGAATTGTTAGTCTATGTCAACACCTTTTAGCTACAAGTCATAAATATGTACTACTTGGGCAATTTTCACCTGATCCATTAGAAAAAGAATTTGGTAAACTTCGCCAAGGATCAGGTGGCACCTATTTTATAAATGTTCAACAATATATTGAAAATCTGCATATTAAGCAGACATCTTTACTTTTAAATCAAAATGTAAATATTGATGAATTTGATGTTAATCCAGGTCACCAATGTACATCTTGTGATTATAAACTTTGTGAGTAAGGTTCATAAATATTTGACAATCTGGAAAATTTAGAACCATCTCTTTCCAATGAAATAAAAATGGCTCTTGTGTACATAGCTGGATATATTACAAGAAATGATAATCAACCCAGTGAATGTGAAACCCATTTTTATTATGAAAAGTATGGAAAATATACCAATTTAATTGACCATGGAAAACTAAAAGTTCCTTCTGACCACACTTGTCAATGGTTATTTTTTTGTTTCATCCTTTTCCATACAATAAAGGAAAAGGTTTGCTATAAATCATTAAGTAACATTTTTATGCTTATTTGTGAGTTTCATTTTTTCAACATGGAGAAAAAGCATGCTTCTATTTTTGTAAATAAATATA